TTATAAATGCATATTTTATGAACAAATAAATAGAAATATGTGATAAACATTACATTTTATTAATTACACAGCCCCACAAAAAAGAAAAAGGATCGGATCTGGTATTCAGACCCTGGTATTTCCATGTATTTTTTTCCGCTGAATTCGAATCTGCCTTCAGATTTGGCCCAACGGGTCTGAGTTTTCGGGAAAATTAAAAAAACTGGTAAAAAAAGGGCTTTTATCTCATCTCTCAGTACAGAAAGTAGATAGATAGATGGATAGATGGATGGGTTTTATAGGTGGTACAGGTGGATGGATAAATATGCGTATTCATGCGTGAACGACTGGATAGAAAGATGTATGAATTCATAAATGGGTGGATGGATAAAAAGATGGATCCAGAATTCTGCAACACCAATTATGCCATGAAAATGGCGTTTTGATCTATTTTTTGTTTTTGAATGAAATTGGACAAATTTGTCTGACTCTATGATGATAAATTGGAATTAAACGAGTGAAAAATCATACGTCTAGTGAGCTGGTAGAATAATTTGATTTTTTACAACTTTCGTCGATCGTAAATGACGTTTTTTATGAATTTTAAGCTGTATTTTGAATTTTCCCGAAAACTCAGACCCGTTGGACCAAATCTGAAGGCAGATTCGGATTTAGCGGTAAAAAATACCTGGAAATACTAGGGTCTGAATACCAGATCCGATCCTTTTTTTGTGGGTCACTTTTTCAGTGACGATGAAACATTCATTCAAAGGGCCATAACGGGAAATGACGTCTTATATTCTACCCTTGTATATGTAAACTATTGCCGACAAGGCACTAAGAACACTTGGTTTTAATATTTCCAAAATTTTGGTGTCCAAATTATGACAATCATATACTTAGATATGTTAGAAGATATTCAACGAAGAATTTTGAAATTCTTACAATTTTAAACTTGTGGGTATTTATAAATCTTTCAGTTACCCTCAGTGTAGTCTTCTTGACTCGTTTTTTATTTTTCGCTATTTTTTTCTATAAAATTATTAGCAATGGTCTTAATTATACATCCGTATTGTCTGTCATCCGTCTCTAGATACCATACCATTTCAAAATACTTTATCTTTGCCTATTTAGCTCGAATTCCCTCAAGTTCATGTTTCAGTAGATTCAGTTATTTAAATAAAAATTCAAAGATACATCCTTACCCAATATTTTATGCAAATGATTATCTCGACGTCTATTAAATCATCGTCATATTCTGCCGGATGACCTTGTGAACTCGACAATTTTTCTACTTTGCCTTCTACAGTATAGATGATATTGCGCCGCAATAATTTTCTTGATGTACATGCCTTCCCTGCCTGATTGTTGATTTTATGCGGTGTTGACGTTTATTCGACGTCGGATTCTTGTCATACGTGGTAGCATGCTAAAATTCACTTGTTGACGTTTATTGGGTGTCAAACTGGTAACGTCGTTACGTCGTTATCAGAAATGTCTTATTGACTCTGGTGATATTGACGTTTTTTGGACATTACCCACCTGGAATATTATGATTACGCGCCTTGGTAAAGAACGAAACGTTACATCACCTGTTTTAGTCATTATTTGAGACAGAAAGCAACTTTCTGAAATTTCATAATTATTCCGATTTAGTTGCATAAAGTCTCAGTGTTTTAAAGAATATTAATTACCTACTTTTTAACTGAGTCTCATAAAAAAATAGTAAAACATATCCGTACGTACCGATTCATTAAAACATCAATTCTAATTTATGGAGATTTGCCGCGATTCGTTTAATATGGACTTGAGGCAATAACCGACGCCTCAGTACACCTCTTTAGTTCTTTTACTGCCTAATTTGAATAAAAGAGAAAACTATTACGTACGGAAATAATTTACATGTGTTGAATATTACAATTGCATTATTTTAAGGCAGAATCACGTACTTGCTTCATCTAAATGCAAATACCCCCGGCTAAACTCCTTGTCGAAAGAAATTATATAGGTATTACCCAGTTGCAGTGCAATAATAACCAAAGCTGACAGGGAAAATTTTTATTCATAAATTGGCGATATATACAGGGTGATTTCACTTATTCTCTAATCAGTTCCTTATTGAAAAATAAATGTCCTTTGACCCATAACATTTTGATTCAAGATGTTTAGTTTTCCAGATATTTTTATTTAATTTGTCATAACAAATAGGTATTACAATAATAGGGTGACGAATAATTACAAAATAAAAGATCTGGGTGGATACATTAAGAATAGCGACAAGAATGACCAAATCTTAAGCTAAATTGAGACTAAAACTAAACTAAAAACGAAGAAATGCAATAATTTTATATACTGTGTTTTGCAAGTGTAAATATCTAGAGATCAGCAATTACTAAATAATATAGAATGAGCGACAGATTAAGAATATCCATAAGTGTGACTAGAAAACAGATTGCATTGTTTTTGTGGCAGCCACATAGGTGAGTTAGCGTGTATAGAGACAAGCATTATAAAACTAGGTGCACCACAGGAGTACATATTGGGTCCTGTCCTTTTGTTATAGTACATTAATGACTTAGCAAATTTGTCTACAGCATATTTTACTTTATATTCAGATGGCACCTCAGTCATTTTATCTGACAAGTTAGACAAAGATTTAATCAATAAATGTAAGGATATGCTGTCAGATATTGGTGGGTGGTTTTCACAAAATTGTTTGTATTCTAGTCTCGACTATTACTGTTCCATTACAATCCGAGAGATTCTGATAGTGTGAGATCCCTCTGTGTACCTACATAGGTATTGATGAATGTCTAAATTGGCATTCACAATGCTATAGTTTACTTCAAAAGCGTTTTAAATGCTGATCAACAAGATATGTCTGTACCATTCTTAGGTGAAGTCAAGTCTAACATACGGAATCTGTTTTTGCGGACTGTCTTTCAAAAAATTTTGTAAAGACAAGTTTACTTTGTATAAAATTCTAGCACTTCCAGCACTTTTTACAATTGAAATGTGTTTATATGTTTTTATAAAGCACAAACAATCTCAAATATGTAACTTGATATTTATACTAGAACCTACTTTTAACATATTATTATAGTGGTTAAATCTTCTACTATAATGTTAAAACTGCAAGTTCTGATTGGAGCGATGATTCAGGTGTTGAACAAATTGTGGATTCTAAACCGAATTCGCAAATTCAAGATGTGATCTGACAAGTTATTATATTATACAGAACAACAGAAGTTTTTGAGTCATAAAACGATTTGGAAATACGTAGAATAAATCCAAAGTTAAGCAGAGCTTTTCCTACAATATAAGTTATCTAAATTCCAAATAATTTGTAATTTAGCATGTAATGTTAATCCTAAATATTTCATTCAATGTACTTTTTTGGAGAACAGTATTATTACGTATAATGGAAATTATTTTCCAGGCTCGTAAACAATATTCAGGCAAGATTCAGGCTTGCTTGAAAATTTTGACAATCCTTGAAGGATGATATGGGTTTGAATGCCCTCAAATCATCTGCATGAAAATAAAATGACTGAGAGAAGCAGACGCTAATATCATTGATAAATAAAGAGAGGTTTAAAGGGCCTAAATAGGATCCTTGGGGTATACCTGATGTAATTTCGACATAATTCGCAGCAAAACTATTTACTTTGACTCTTTGTCTATTGGATAAATTGATTAGGAGATTTCCATGCATGTCGATACTTATGCAGCAAACAAAAAAGGATTATGAAGATTTAGAAAAATCAGTGTATCTACTTATATTTCTCATCCATAATTTCCGGTATAAACACTGGTCTTTTAATAGGTAGATTTTAATTTCATCGTTTCATTCAATGGCGTGCGGATGGGGTGGAGAACACAAAAAAAGATGAACACAAAAAAATATTTTTTCTGAAAAAATAATAAACTCAAATGGTTATGTCACACCTTACAAACGAGTTTGTTTCCTTGATCGCTGATCTTTATGATGTCACTTACAATTAAGTAGTCGAATCTAGAAGTCACCCTTGAATCGCGATCCCCATTTTTCTCATCCAACAACACAAAAAGACGAAACGCGAAAGGCATTTATATTAATTTCAGTAATTACAAAATCCAGCTCGCAAAAACAATACCATGCAGTCTTTAAATTAATATAGGGGGTTTTTTGTTCGGGCCCGTGCAACATTTAGCGAAATAATTCCTCTGTTAAGGAGATTATGGGATTTAATTTGCGTGCCTTATGGGCCGCTTTATTAAGCCCTTCAAGCAGAAACCTCGAAAAATGTAAACAATCCTTGTTTCATTTACATTTAATCTGTTTGGAGGCTTTGGGATGAGGTGCATTAATTCAAATTTATTCCAGGGGTGGATAAAATTATCTATAATTGCTCGGTAGAAGCAGGCTTAAGTTCTCAGACTGAAAATGGGTTTTTTGAATTACTTTTTCTTAGAGGTGGATTAATTTTTAAAGTTCCGGTTTAAAAAAATTGAAGTGTGTAAAAAAATATTAAGCTACAAAGTACTTGTAAAGAGGAGAAATAATTTTAGTAAAAGCAATTTAGACATCAATTTTTTAATTACACTGTTGTTGTGTACAAAATGAACCTTCTAATATATCTACTTCCACGTCAAGTAAAATAAAATAAGATCCTTAAATGGACGATTTACTTTCGGACGTCACAACAAAAAAAAAACAAAAATACATTTGTATTTCTCTGTACAACATGATACTTTTGTAACTATGTCACAATACTCTTCAGGAGTTGCAGTTGTCGTTATTACATTTTTGCATCACAACGTTACCTATTACCTGACAGGTGATATTTACGTATTTGCATTAATTTTTTTGTATGAAACTCCCTACTTTTCTGAAGACACCCATACCCAATAATTTCCCCGACTATCCGCCTACAAACAAACCCTCCCATTTCTCGGAAAATGCCATTCCGGAATAAAAACAAAGTGTCTGCTACATATCACATTGGCATCCAATAAGAGCCACTATCTGTTGCTTTCAGGACGTGAGGACGACAGCGACATAGAGACAGAGCCCGGCATTCCACTGAAACGCAAGCAACGACGGTCAAGGACGACGTTTTCAGGGGATCAGCTGGAGGCGCTGGAAAGGGAGTTCAGCAGGACGCAATATCCTGATGTGTACACTAGGGAGGAACTGGCTCAGCGGACTGGATTGACCGAGGCCAGGATACAGGTGGGTTATTTGAGTTTATGTGAAATAACAGTGAGTTCGGGTCACGTGGCTCTTAACAGGGTCGTACTTGGTTTGCTCTCACAGTTTTCATTTCAGTTGTTTATTTGACAGTATTTATAGAGGTCGGATTTTAATGATATTTTAATATATTAAAAGCAAAGATATATCTTTGCCCCTTGAACCAATTGTATGGCGTGCTTGGTTTGAAATCACAGTTGTTATAATGATTATTTTGACAGTATTAAAAGTACAGTTAGTTTACTGTTTTAATCCTATTTACTATACTAAGGGTCAAAATTTTCACTACAACATAATATGTCATATTAACCAAATACTATGTTTTTTTATTCATTAAGTAGGATAAATAAATTGGAGATTCCTCTAACTACGTACATGGGGGGAATGCTGTTGTTTAAAATGGTAAACAAATAGTTATAGTTCGTAATGGCCACTGTGCTCTGGTTAATAAACTATAAATAATCAGGGTTGACTTTCGATCACACCTGCTGGTATCTCCGCCAAATTCCCAGTACTCATTCTTACATTTGGGGCGCTGTTTTACCACTCGATTGCTGCCCTTCCTGGATTGACTTTCACTTATTGGTGAGTTCGTGCGGATTCCAGGCTGTTTTTTCAATTTTTGGCGATTGCCCATGCCAAGAACTCCGGCGGTTGGATTCAAAATATCTACAAAAATTTCGATTACAGAACTTACTTAGAATAGAAAAAAATATTTAAGCGAATAAAAGATGATATAAGAACAGAAAAGGAAAGCGTAATAGAAAAATAAATATTAAACAGGGGAGGAAAAAATAAAAATTAAATTGATTCTTATTTTGTTAATTTAAAAAATATAGAGAAAGGTTAATTTAGTAATGGCAAGCCCATAAAATAGCAAAATTTGCAATGAAAAGAAGAATCTACGAAAGTAAAGTAAAAAAATGTTTAAAAAAAAATTGTGGAAGAGTTTAGCTATAACGAGTGAAAGTGAAGGTGTGAAACACCGATGTGAAAAAAAAAAATAGTAAGTTGTAGCTCAGATCGAAGAAGAAACCGGTAGAGTGTGGCCTAAACATTATCAGAAGATAAAAAAAAAACAAAAAAAGAGATGAATATAGGGTGGCTCAAAGAAAATCACAAAACCAGAAAGGACCTTTCAGAAGGAAGATAAAATTAGAGTAATATTATTAATAATTAATAGTATTAAGAATTAATTTTTGTAAAAATGGACCAAGAATAGCTAGATCAAGTAATAGGATTTTTAAAATGAAAAATTATAGGATATTTCCAAATTGTTCTTTTGATAAAATAAATTAAAATTTACTAAGGTTGTGTTGCTTTTGAGATGTTGAGATTAATAAAACTAAATATAATAAATTCAGATAGGTGCGACAAATAAAAAATGTTAAGTTACCTAATTTAAATTAAAATCAACTTCAGCAAAAGAAATAGTTTTCTACAGAAACTGAACTCGTTAATTAATTAAAAATTTGAGAATCGTAAGTACAATCGTCCAGTACATAAAATTTTGGCGCCTAACGTGGGGCTAGTCAAAATTCGAAATCATTATTCAAAATAAAACAAAACTGAGATCATTATACTAAATAAAATTATTTCGTCATAATATATACATGTTCTGGCTTGCCTATAACGTTGGTTTCTGCGTCGATAAGTTTATTAAAACAATATAAATTATTTTTTACTCAGGTGAGCTTAAGAAATTTTACTTTTAAGAACTTTTAAGAAAGAAGCTTAAAAGAATGCCATTTCTAAATTAAAATTTCACAAAAGTCACCATCACATAGTAATTGTAGGAAAAATATACAGGTTGTCCCAATAAAAGAATTGAAAAAGTGTATTGATGTGTTTTCGGGATCACTGAGTTGATCTGGAAGTTATTAAAGGTCTTCAAAGGGTTTCCATCTGTATACGTATAACCATCTACACGTTTATATGGAGTTAGTCTCTTTTTCTGATGGTTTACTTTCGTTTTACTATTCTCATCTCATCTCATTCGTTGGCACAGTCAAAATGAATCGTCCTCTGAATGACCTTGGTATAAGTAAGTCCTTGTAGACGAAAATAACAGCGAATTCGACCAGCAATCCAACATCACTTTACTGTGTCTTTTCTAATTTTTTACAAAACTTTTTCTCGATTTGACCTTCAAATCACCTTGAACCTGATGTGATGGAGCTTAAATAACCTTGAACCCTTCGCGTTCAGTGACCTCAAAAACATTTAGACGAATTTTTTCAGATTTTTCAGACTGATTTTAACTTTTCTGTCCAAAATACTTCATAAATGACATTGAAATGACCTTGAACTACCTCTAGGGTTAGTAGGGGTAAACAAACCTCGGATTCGAGTTCACTGACCTCTAAGACATAAGCATGAATTTTTTCAGATTTTTTGGAGGTCATTTCTTGATTTGACCTTCAAATCACTTTGAACCTGATGCGATAGACCTTAAATAACCTTGGATTCGCGTTCAGTGACCTCAAAAACAATTAAACGAATCTTTTCAGATTTTTCATATTGATTTTAACGTTTCTATCCAAAATATTTCATGAATGACCTTGAAATGCTTTTGAATGACCTCTAGGGTGTATCGTAAGGGTAAACAAACCTCGGATTCGGGTTCAGTGACCTCTAAAACATGAGCATAAATTTTACAGATTTTTTGGAGGTCATTTCTTGATTTGACCTTCAAATCACCTTGAACCTGATGTGATGGAGCTTAACCGACCTCGGATTCATGATCAGCGACCCAAAAAACCCCTAGTTTTCATAGTCACTTCTGACGATTGTCCCTAGATCAAATGTTGACCTGTGTTGTTTCCAATATTTTAATCAATACCTTGTCGAAGATTTCATTCAAGCACAGAGCTTCCACATTATTAATCAAAACTATTTTCCAGGTTTGGTTCTCGAATCGTAGGGCCCGTCTACGCAAAAACGCCGGCGGCGTAAACGCAGCCAACGCTCTGGGCTTCCCCTCCCTCCCCCTGGGCAACATGGCGTGCCAGTACGCGACCGACGCCCAGTACGACTGGAGAGCAGCACAGTTCCACAACTACAACATGTTTCAGCAGTCCGGCTACAACCAGGACTATTCCAGGGCCGACTACTCGGCCTTATTCGACGCCAACTACGCTCTCGCGCAGGCGCAGTTCACTCACGCCCAGAACAGCGGTCTGAGTCGAGTGAAGGAGAGTGAAAACTACGTTCCCGCTCACGCGCAAGTTACTACTCACCCCCACAATCTGAACCAGATTAAAGGTGATAACAAGGAGTTGGATTTAAGCAACGAGGCTTCCACCAGCGGCAGCAACGGCGTGCAGGGTAACTCCTGGGGTAAGAGTGGAGACTGGCATCAGGGGGTGGCAATGCACGACGCGGGAGTTCATTTTGGTGGCAACGAAGCTTTCGTCCAAGGACATTATCAACCAAACAAGAATTATTGGACGTAGAACGGTTTGAGTATCTTCTTCTACGATGAACTGTACGCTACAAATAATTCAATTGTAAATAAATTATTTCTAAGTTGTTTTGATTTAATAGAACTAGTTTTAAGAAATTGTTTCTTGAAATGCATTATTTCCTTCATCCTAACTCATCATAGAAATTTTTACCTTGTGGTGCAATGAGATCATAATGTTTTGAATGTTTTTCTGATCATTGACTATTCAGGTCAATCCGAAGTCTTGAAAACCACTTTCTAGAAGATTGTCTTGGTGTTAGGGTCAAAATACGAAGTGATCTGGGAAATCTGACTTTAGATTCGGAACTAGCGCGTCAAAGTACTATGGGATGCACTGTCCAATCCACAGCCCAGCCAGTACTTACTGATATGATAGATTGTAAACATTTTTAAGTAATAAAATTTAAAAGTGAAACTTAGAGGTCTGGTATCCTGTTAGTGTATAACCATGTAAGTTATTTTAATTTTTTAATGACGGTTCTGCATATTTATACAGGGTGATACGCAACATATCCAAAAAAATTCGGGAATAGATACGGCATGAGGAATGGAGTCAATATCGTAAAAAAGTTTTGTAAAATCCCTATAGTTTCCGAGAAAAAAATTATTGAAGTTGTAGTACTTTCAAGCATTACATGGTTGGACAACTGTAGTCTCTAGAGCCACACGCAATACACGTGGAGAACCATGTGACCTCAGCTCTGAATACTGAAATCCGATTTTACAATCGTCGTTGCGGTAGTGTTTACAATAGTTTTTTAGTGGTTAGTGCCAAAAACCGCTTGCGTGTAAAGCAATTTGGAGTTGATGAATGTCGCTTTAATTTATGGTGAAACAAGACAACATTTGTGTTATGATGAAACATTTGTGTTATGGTGAAGCAGGACAACATTTATGTTAGTACGTAGATACTGAGTAAGACAGGCCCAAATGTTGAACAGTTGTTGTATCAGTTATGTCAAAAGTGTATTTTTAAATCGTTTTCGAACCTCCTTTTTTAATTTTTTCTTAACGAAATTGTATTTATTAGTTCCCTGTACATCCAATTTTTTGTTTGATAAGTTCTAAATCACCCTGTATATCAATTCAGGAAATGATTATTATGGTTAGAGCCTACTTTTTGTCAGGAGAAAACCGTACAATTGCAAGCATCGAATAAGCTAACTTAAAAAATTGTAGGAGTTTTGAATGTCAGTAGACTCATATTGGAAGCTATAGAAGAAGATTAGCCACAACATTTTAGGTCATATGACTATACAACGAAATAACGAATGTTGAAGCTTCGCAGATTATATCCACATCATGTTCAGAAATAGAGAAAGTCTTTCTAGATGTAGAATTCTGAGAGTGGTATAGAACAAAGAAGAAGACGATTCAAATTGTGTATTATGGACCGACTAATAAACTGAATTGAAGATTCTCATTCGACAAGAGGCGTATTATCAAAATATTTTTTCGATTTTAGGTAAACATTTGAACTGGAATAATCACTGAAAGGACTTTTCATAGTTGGCTTGAGTCAATGGTGAAACTTACCTTAATTTTCCAAGAGATGGGTTGGAATACCTACCTCTAAACGCTTCTGTTTTCGATTAAATTAATTTAGAAACATAACCATAAATGTAAACCGGCCCTGTGCATCTTGCGCACGTGCATTGAATGTTGTTTTACTAGAGACGGCATGCTAAATTTTCACAACATTCACTATTGATGTGATGCAAATCCTCACGTACAGAGATCTTGGTTCCATCAACCGTTTTTAGTGAATGTGTTGTGTGGTGTTTTTGGTGATAGAATTTTGACCGTCGTTTGGAAGCATGTTTATTAACACATGGAAACAACTTTGAACAATTTTTGTAAAGCATATCGACTATTGATAAGTAATTCGTTTATTTCTTTAATTTTTGTGTTACTTTTGAACGAGATGTGAATATACAGGGTGATTCACTTTTTATGATTATGACGTTAATCATCGATAGATCTCGTCAAAATAATATTATTTTGAAGTATACACTTTTTCTTCCAAATGCTTCCTTTTAGAGATATAAGATCTTGAAAACATTTTTTTTATTATTATTTATTTTGTGAAAAGTTCTCTTACTATTTTTAAATGAAATGCTTGGTTTTGGAGAAAAATGGTTTTCAAGAGTTTATATCTCTAAAAGGAAGCATTTGGAAGAAAAACTGTATACTTCGAAATGACATTATTTTGATGAGATCTATCGATAGTTAAGTGATTCATAAAAAGTCAATCACCCTATATTTCAACATTTTCCAACATAAAATTTAAACTGTCAAAACCGCCAGCAACGCTTTCGTACTGCTGCGCGCGGCAGCTTCGATATTAAAGGAACAGCTGACTGCCGCACCAGGAACGGCTTTTTTTTTCAATGTAATGTTTTAAACCATCAGTTTTTTAATAAAAGTTGCTTATTTTCGTGCTCTCTATCGCCGTTTTCAAGAACGCACATATTTCAAATATTCTGTTAAAATCATCTAAGTTCAGCTTTTGTATCTAAATCTAACGCGAGACATTCAGCGAATCCTACAAAATCCTTGCATTTTCCAAGATATCTAGTTGAACTGGCAAGTATCCACCGAAGCCTTTCAAGTCTCAAATAGCTCTTTTATTAAATTTTCTCATGGGTTTGCGCAACAGGAAGCGATCTACATAAAGAACAATATAACTTTTGCTAGGCACATCAAAGCTTAGTCTGCTCCTAGTAAACCCCTTTATCCGGAATCTGTGGGTAATCACTAGTGACTCTGTGCCACTTCATGCATTATTCAACTACTCCAGTAACGGATTCTGGTAAATATAATCAATATGTCTTGCAACAGGCACTGCTAAAGAAAATTTATGACATTAGGGGATACGTTACTAGAGATAGTTCCAGCTCCAATATAAATTAACACTTCGTTAAGTTGTATTTTAAGGAAACAACAGGTATTGTCACATTTTTATTGAATAATATACATTTATAATGATTGACAACTTCAACACTAAATAAATATTTGGCAATAAAGCCTTTATAAATATCGACTTTAAGTTATTGTCTACCAATTACACATTTATTGTCAGATTCAATAATATATATAATACTCTTTTATGACTACTATTGTCTCCCACAGCTTGTATTGTCTTTGTTATGTTATCCAGCCCTCTTTATAGGTTTTTTAAGAAATACATATGAACCCCCTTCTTGAAAGTGTATACATACAATACCAATTGGCCTTAACCTAGACTATAACCTAATGATAATATGTGTCAGATGATATTCTTGATCGCAGGTTTGTAAAGTTGATATTTTTGGAAGATATGACTATATTTTCCTCAGATATGCATTTATAAAAAGTACACACACCCTGAATGTAAACCGGAAAAGTCCTTTATCCTGTTTCAAAACGTTTTTAATGTATCTCTTGAAAAAGGAATTATTCGCAATGATTTTCACTTTGTTGTCTCCCATACTTATAAGGTCCAGAACTTACTTTATATGGTTTATCTTCAGGATATATGTATGGGTGGTAAAATATTTATGTTTATTTAGGACAGACGTGCTCGTGACAGATTTTTTTCGCTTCAAGTACAAATAAATGTGTCGGATTCTGTTAAATTCCCTTCCATATTCGGAAAATGTATACAAATAGATTTTCTAAACATATTTGTCACAAGCACCGTCCATCTCTGATACAAAATGTCTGTTGTGGGTTGTTTAATGTGATCTTGGATGCATGAAAACTTTTCTGAGCAAAATATTGTCAACTGCGGGTTGCAGAAGGTATCTCTTATCTTCTAGTGATAGCGGCGGCTCTTTGGCGCTGGCGTAGTCTTCGGTTTGCCCATTTGGGGCAACCTCCCTAGAAAAACAAGAATTTTATATAACACAAACTATATCGACAATAAAATTAAATTATGTATTAAGTATTAAGTATTAAATATTAAGGGCAATAAGTGTTCTAAAAAATATGAAACCCTAAAGTCTCCAGAAAGCTTATGGGCTGAATACTGTATGTTCAAGGCTACAATATCTTTGCATAAAGCTGTTGATATTTCAAAATATGCTACTTAATTGCAGTGGCGGCTCGTCAGGTGACGCAATGCTTCACCTAAAACTTCGTTAAGTTGTGCAATTTAAAATAATTCTTAATTTTTTTTAAATTTTAAAATTGAACTTTGACAAGTTGTAACTTGCAAACAATTGACAATTCAAAAAAAAATTATACCGGGCACGCATCCGAAGGAGTTCTGCCACTATTCTGGCAAACCAAGGAATAAATATTTTAGGCTTTAATAGGCACGGTGGGTGGCGTTCGTCCTCTGTAACTGAGGGATATATCGAGGACTATGTGGAAAATAAAAATCAATTTTCAAAGATATTCTACGGTAACAGAAAGTGATATAACAGCCTACAGTGTTATTACAAAATTTGCAGCAACTATAGTATCATCAGAAGAGAAATTTGTTTTAATCCTGAATTCTATTGCTTCAATAAATTTCAATAACTGTTCAAATTGTAATTTTACTTTTGCCTTTAATAAAAATTGATTTTTAAAATTCTACATTTATTAGATTACTCATCCCACTCCTGATCGGTAAGTAATCACTTACCGATCGCTAATTTGTAAACGTCACTTACAAATGTCTCAACAAATTCGGTAAACGTGTCAAATTACCTGAGCGTGCAAAAAACAAAATAAACTTTGTTATAGATTTAGCCAATTTAAAGGAATAATTAAAAATAGACGACAAACATCCATATCTGTATTAATCAGTTTCTGTCTGAAAAAGGTAAAAGAAGCGTAATCAAAATTTAATTAATTTTCATTCCTAGCGCTGAATTTTACTGCAAAGCGCGATCATCAGGGAAGTCCAATATCGGCTGTCTACTGATTGATTATTACGTTTAATTATAAACACGGTCACAACCAAAACTAATCATTGGAGTTGACAGTAGATTGGATTTATATTTAGAATTTAAAGCTCCCATCATTCTGGATAGCTAAATGGAAGCTAAAACTTTACAAATAGTATTCAACGCATTGTAATTAGAGACTTTTCATCAATTTCATTCATTAGTCATTAAATTATTCAAACAAAAATGAAATTAATATTTATACACAAAGATACATTGGTTGAATCTTGCTTAGAAAGTGAAGAGGAGTATCTCAAACTCTCAAAATCCGTTTCTACGCGAATTATTTCTGGGTGAAGTAAATATACGGATGTATAAATTACCTAAAAAGGATGAGAGAGCAACTAAATTTTGCGTGGGAAGCGATTTAATGTTAATATTTTAATCAATTCTGCCAATAGGAATGGGGGGGTGGAAAAATGAATTAAACATGAAAGGGAACACATCGACCAATTTGGTTCATTTGAATTGTTAATTGTATTCGCTTGATCGGAGTATTTGACAACGAAGAATTTTAAGTCCATCGGCTGTTGAAATCAAAATCAGATTAGTTTATTGGAAAGAGGTTATCAATTTTTATTCCGAGACTGAAAAGAATTTGTCACTTTATAATTGAAAGATACGAAGTCTGTTCAGTAAATAACCGAACTTTGTAACCACATGTTTTTGGATTGTTGATATTTCATTTAGTTTTCGTGGTACTGTTATTGGAGTGCAACGACGATTTTTGAAATGTGCGATTTTCTGGAACAACAATGCAACGCAAAGTTTTGCGTGAAGTTGGGGAAAAAGTTCACGGAAATGTTACAACTTTGAAGCAAGCTTACGGAGATGATACTCTAGGTCGTACGCAATGTTACGAATGGTTTTCGCGATTTAAAAGTGATTGTCAGTCAATTGAAGATGATCCTCGATCAGGAAGGCCTTCCACTTCAATTGGTCTGACTCTAAATTTCAACATGCATTTCTCAAAGACGAAAAATGACAACGTAATAAATCCAAGTGCTTTTTAAAGAGTAAGTATAGTACTTTAAGACCCCATTAATGGTTTCAGTAAAAAATTACCTTTCCGTGTAATATAATCTCAAATATATAAAAAAATCGTCATTTTGGTACTGTTAGTTTAGGATACCTCGGAAACCAGAGCCAATTGAGAAATTTCGACCTCGAATTCGAAATTAGCGCACGAAAATCCTTTGGTAAAATATAATCGTGTTGTTGGGTTAAAATTTTGTCAGCCTGCGAAACGTATAAAATTAATAATAAAGTTTAAAAGAATAAAAATAAATTCGGTTATTTTTTAAACAGACCTGGTACAATCTAATTATATTATAAAGGATATAACTGAAAATAGGATTTTTCTCTTAACTGCCGTTCGTGAGTCTAAATTTAAATAATTTTTTTAATAAGGAGAGATTTGATGGAACACAATATACAGCATGTCCACGATTAGAATGGAAAATAAGGAAAATATGTTTATTTCTCATTTTACGAGAAAAAGGCAATCTTGATTAAAATTTTTGCTTGTCTTTAAAATCCGGTTCTCATGAAGAACTTTCACCTTACATCTACAGGGTGATCAGAAAATCGGTAAATATAAAAATCGTTCAAGAATAAACCGCCGTTGTTTTTAACAATACAGAAATATGTTATTAACGAAAGTTATATGATGATGTGATATGTTTTTTATTAATTTATTTTTTTTGTGTATATCTATATATTTTTTGTTTTTGTATATGACTTGCCATAAAAATTGTATGCAATTTAACATGGTCAATAAACACTAAACTAAACTAAACTAAGTTGCTTAGAATAAAAATTTATATTATAATCTCGATTTGTGTATGACTCGGCCTAATTTGATAGAAGCGGACAGTAAAACATTTTTATTGTTCATTTTACGAGAAAAAGGCAATCTTGATTAAAATTTTTGTTTATTTTTAAAGACATTTTGAGTTTTTAACTTTGGAATTTTGGAAATAATGAACAAATTATTCAAAAACAAATTCTGAAAAAGAACAATACAGATTTTCAAAGGAAATTTAATGCTCTACAAAAAAGGTCTATTAACATTTTTGTATAAATTTACTCCTTCAAAACTTATTCACGATTGAAGTTGAAGTAAAAATAAAATTTTTGTTTTTTTTTTGGTTTTGGACCAATTTTTTTTCACTCAATGGCTCAAATTGATATTATACATCATCGACAATTATTATTCTATCAATATGATCACCAAAAATATACAAAATTCGTAATATATTCAAATTTATTCTCGCTCAACAGCTATTTTTTCTACAAGAACGTAGTTTTACTGTCTCAAAATAATTTTAAAAATAACAATTATGTAGTTTTACTACTGAAAATTATTTATTTACAATATTGTATACATTTATATGAAAGAAAAATCAGATTATGGCTCATAAAATAATAGTATCAATGAAATATAGAAAAAAATCATTGTAAGTATCTTTATTGGGTGAAAAAATTGGGTCCAAAATGAAAAAAACAAAAATTTAATTTTTACTTCAACTTCAATCGTGAATAACTTTTGAAGGAGTAAATTTATGTAAAAATGTTAAGAGACCTCTTTTGTAGAATATTAAATTTCCTTTGAAAATCTTATTGTTCTTTTTCAGATATTAATTTGTTCGTTACTTACAAAGATCCAAAGTTAAAAACATGGAAACGGCTCGTCTGCCGAAAATTTTCAATTAGACCTTTCTTGTAGGGCATTCAATTTCCTTCATAAATATATGTAGATAATTTTTTTTACCTCGATGGTTTGGCAGTTTTGACGTAAAAATGGGATGAGGAATAAAACACCGAAACAAGCGATGATAGACCACTTAAAACTAATATTAAGGGCTCAAACTCTCACGATATTTTTTTTCGTCATTCTGAATGATATTTTCGATATTTCTTTAAAAAAAAAATTAGTCGATTTTTTTGGCCCAGTCTAATGTACAGCTATAGATAACAAAAATTTTCTTTCTAAATTGTCTCGTTTAGTAGCATTTAATTTTAATTTGGTTTTTGGTAACCTCTTAACCTTCCAAAGTATATGATGAAAAAAATTAGTTATTGTCTAAGTTATTTATTTGTAGCAAGGTTTAAGTGTTTTCCTTCGTTACTTATATTTTTCCACCACGGAAGAAAAATTCAGATTTTTTGATACCAACTAACTACGATGTGTCTGATTATGAATTAAAGAACTATGCTTCGTGAAACAAGTAAGTACGGAAATTGGGAAGGAAAATCTATACTCCCACTTCACCTTTTACTCCAATCTAGAATATCAACTTTATCGCCCATTTGCTCGACTATTCCGATACAATTATGTCTCATAATCCTCGTAACGCCAGAGCAATTTGGCTCGGCGTCTCCTAAATCCTGTTTATTGTGATATCCCATTTAGAATGCAGTAATAATGGAAAGTAATATCCCGGCCAAGTACCGTTTATTTTGAATGTATGGGGGCATATTCCGCATTCCTTTGACGCTATCTGTTGCTCTGCCTCCCCCTCAGTTCTGTCGGGGACGGGGGTTGGGGTTGACGGAAATAAAAAGGGGTCAGGGATTTATGGTGTTGCTGTCGAAATGGAGTTTATTTCTGTAAATTTATCGTTTCTTATTAAAGAGCTACGTAGCGGGAGTTGAAACAAAAGCGAGAAACAAACAAACAACTCTTTTCTCTTTCCTAAAATAATTGTATATATTTCAGTATTCAGTCGTATCTACGTTACCAAAGGGGACATGCTCGTGGGTATGTCTCTCTTTCTCAGATATGATTTCATCAATTCTTATAGTTACGTAACCTACCACTTCATTTTATGAAACCAAATAATAGTATTTAAGACAAACACCATTAGTCAAGTCGAATTAGATCATAAACCATGTAAACTTAAAAAAATTATTGGTAGACATTTTGCTGCACTTTATGTAGAATGATATCAAAAAACTAACTCGAAAAAAGTAACGCTATGTTGGCAAATTGCAAATAAGTGGCAAATTTAATGCAAAAAGAGCGAATTCCCGAGCGGCTTTTGCATGACCTTGGGACAATTAATTACATATAAAGCTGTATTGCGCACCATAGTAGTAAAGATCAACTTAATTTAAACTTTTTAATTTTTTTTCTTTTTCGATACGCTTGTTTGGATCAATTAGTACATACGAGTATATCTACGACATTAACTTATAAAATTAATGATTAGTAATTAAAAAATTAGTTGCAAGAAAACGAACGAAATTAATTGACAAATACCTGGAGCAACAATTGCATCAATATCCATCACTTTTTGCAATTATAATGCACAATTTTCGTAAACTCACTTCTCTGTGTACGACCTTTATTTTACCAACTTAGCGTCACTTCTTTAGAGTTAGTTTCCGATATCATTCTACACACCCTTCACCTTCATAAAGTGTAATAAAATGTCTACTAATTTTTTTTTTAATTTCAAACTCAACTTGGTTGAAAATATACCATCTTTATGTATACAGGGTGATTCATAACTTATTCAAAAAAATTTGGGAATAGATATGGCATGAGAAATGGAGTCGATATCGTAAAAAAAAATTTCGTAAAATCCTTATAGTTCCCGAGAAAAAAATTATTGAAGTTGTAGTACTTTCAACCATTGCATAGCTGGACAACTGTAGTCTAGCGTCATTCGCAATACGCGTAGAGAGCCACGTGACCTCAGTGACTCCGAATACTGAAATCCCATTTTACAATCGTCGTTGCGATAGTGCTTACAATAGTTTTTTAGTAGTTCGTGTCAAAAATGGCTTGCGTGCATAGCAACTCGGGTCCAGATGTGTTTACACGTAGGTGGACAAAATTTTGAACAGTTTGTTGTAACATTAGGTATGTCAAATTATTTTATTAATTAAAACCACAAATTAAATTTATTAATTAATAATAACAATATTGGCAAAAGCAGTTGGATTTTCTGATATAAAATAGGTGCTTTTCAAGTTTTTGTCGGTTTTTATCACATTTTACCGCCATGCCGGTCGCATTGCGCGAGGTCAGGTTTTACAGTGGACCAGTTTCTAGTGCTGTGCAGAAGTGTATATTTAATTTATTTTCGAACTGCTCTTTTTGATTTTTTCTTTATAAAATTGTATTTGTAAGAGTCCCTATACATAATAAATTTCTTTTTTGGATAAGATCTTAATCACCCTGTATTTTTTCATCTTAAGTACATTCATAGATTTAAAACCGTAAGCACCTGCGTCGATTTGGGAACCCATTTACAAGTAAAATGTTTCTATCAGGATGATAAATTGATGAGATTCTTATCTTGTAAAACCAATCATTTCGGTAGCTCGTGAGAATAAAGAACAATTTTCAATATTCAAACATATGATATTCACAAAATAATTAATCAAATAATGTAAAAAAAGCCGGAAAAAATTATTTTAAATGTTAAAACTGTTGAATATTCATATTACGAATAATACAGTAATGATACTGATAGTAAAACCAAATGAAATGAATAAATTCTTATACTTATTGTACTAATCATGACGACTTTATTAAAAAAACACTGGAATGTGTAAATATTTATTATTATATGTTTTTATTTTACTAACTGTGTACTGTTGTAATTTGTTATATTGTAAGCTTACTTTTTTATTGTAAACACGATTGTTATTACCATTACCTAAATAGAAATAAATTCTTGAAATAAAATTCAATGCAACCTATTCAGGTCTCCTGTTTTATAGCTTGGTGAAATTTTATAATGAGCAATAGCTGAACTCGAGTCGATAAAGTTACTCATTCTCTTAAATCTATGAACGTACTTTAGCATAAATGCAACTAGACTACTATACTACAACTACTGCTACTGTAGCATTCTATTGCTACCGTTTCTAAAGATATTGCGACCGTTTTATTGGCTTTGTTCTAAAAAATAAAAGATTTGAATTTTTTCGTAAATATGTTTTGTTAAAATTGAAAACTTTATTCAAATTTTTACGCACAACAAAATTGCAACAAAATTTTTAATCGAAATTTGGCCATATTTAATGCACATAGTCAATTTTCATCATATTCATAAAAAAATCATCTTGATACGATGAAAATTAACGAAGCTAAGCGCATTAGAAAAATTGCAAAATTTCTATGAAAAATTTTATCGACATAATTTTGTTGCGTAGTTTATATTTACTGATTAATTTTTACGGGAAATTCTTGTGACACGTCGAAACAAATGTATATTTACTAATGTAGATAGATAATCTGCTGCTAGGGCTAGTATTACAATCATGCAATGCTTTTAACCCATTAGCGGCAGGAAAATATTGATTTTGTACATCATTTTCTAATATTAGTTAACACAACAACGGTAATATCTATTTATAAACGCTATAAAAAATATAATGAAAATATCTACTTCTCTTTTATATTTATGTGTATCAATATCTAATATTAGTTAGCACATATGTATATTTATACATTGCATTAAACAAATCCCGTGAAAATGTGTTTCTTTTGCATTTTTAAAGGAAACTACTTGTAGCAAATGATCTTAAAGTTGATTCAAGTTTTAAATTAATTCCCATAAGGAAAATTTATTTCAAGCCAATTCTGAAATTTAGAACATTCCCCATATCGAACAAGCCAATAAACTGTCCACATCTAACACCAACAGAACTAACTAAACTCTACCACTCCTAACATCGAGAATAACCTGCAAATGTCATCTGAAGTGGTAGATCTTCCGGATCTGTTAAACCTGCGGACATTTCTGAAAGATGGCAGCCAGCCCAAGCGGGCCAGCGAACCGATATGACGCTTGTCCGGCGATACGAATCGGGAGTATCTTGAGTTCGACGGTTGGAACCATCCGGTTCTCGCTATAGATCCTGTGAGGGTACAAAAAGTTGTAAAAGTTATGCACAAATACAAAAAATGTGCACAAAAATACAAAAAGTATTGTGGTCTTTTTTTAAGCACTGATTTCCATGCATTTCTTTGTGAAATTGGGAATGTTTAATTAATTAATTACTTAATTTATTACTTAATTAATTAATTAATTAATTAATTAATTAATTAATTAATTAATTAATTAACTACTCAATTAATTAATTAATTAGCTAATTAAATAATTAATTGGTTATCTAATTAATTAATTCACAAAATTTCGATGTCTCCAGATATTAATATTTTCTATCCGTACTTTTACTAGCACATCCACCACATTATTTATTAATGTGTTTTCTTTAATTATTTTCGTATCTAGAACGCGAAATGGTACTTTTGCGTTCAAGAATGGTTTGCGTTCTAGTACGGTAGCATATAAATTGATAGAAACTTCTAATGTTTATATTCCGAAATCGGGCACAGTGGTCACACTTATTGACACCAAAACTAAACAAGATCGGTTAATTCGCCTTGTTTCGCATTACCCCATAGATTTTTTCTATATAGAGTCATTTATAAACATTACATATGTGTAGTGTACATTACCGAGGCAAGGTATTCGAGAATTAATAAACCGTATTATTGATTCATGTGCAGTAATTCAAAGTTCTTGAAAATGTTTAAGCGGATGAATATTTTTATGGACGAAGTTTTATGTAATAGTGAAAGGAGGGGTTTCCAACATTGATTAAAATATTTTTTGGTTTTCTGTTTATAATAAAGCTTATTTCAATTAATTTCCGGTTTTTTTAATGTACTTTTACCATATTTAAATAAAATTGCTCTCCCACTGAGCAAAATCCTTTGGCCACTTAACTTTCTTGCTCAAAACTATTGCTTTTCCGAAAAATATAGAAGAAATAAAATTTGTTTGAAATAAATTAAGCGCGCTTCCACCCCTTCAACCGAAGAAATAGATCTAAAAATTATCCAGTAAATACCATTTGGGTAGTAGGAAAAGTCAAAGTAATTACATTTTTCTAATTTTCTCTACATTTAAGGGAAAAAATAAGCACTAAATTTTTCTCTCCGTTTGAAGAGTCATAATGATGGGGAGTGACGCAGAGAGAAATGTTCACCCGCTTATTTATTAACGCCCTGTATAAAAGTACTTATAAGCCCTCAACTTCAATTGAAGTACAAGCGGGTATAAAATCACAGAGTCAAACAAGAGAACGAGATCGTGGCCAATAAATTATGGGGACTTTATTAAAACAAAATTTAATTTAATCGTCTTACAAAACTCTCAGTGAATAATGGCCTCAATAACGCTTAAGCGCCTCAACGTTCAAACTATAATAAGACGGAGAAGAAGGCGGGGACTTATAATTCGTTTGTTAGGTGAAAAATCCTTCTTGAAATTTTTAATAATGTCGCGACGGCAAACAATTCGCTTGCAAAGCGTTATTCTTTTCCTTATTGCCTTGAGGTATTATTCCTTGTTCGTTTAGAATAGCCTAAAACATGACGTTCCGTCTGGAAAAATTACGGTTAGAGTTTTCACAAATCTACGCTTTTCAACAGACAAAGAGAATACATCCTTTCTCATAAAGAAAACGTTCACAATGATTCCAATAAACTTTGGGATGAGAAAATTAATAACCTACTTTTTTTAAACGAAAAAAAAATTGTTAATTTGTTACCAAGAGAGATTTTGCGCCCGAGCGGAGCGAGTTCTGGCAATAGAGTCCGAGACTGGTAACTTATACTTAACTGCTGCGTGGTGTATAACATATTATCTGCTCCCACAGTTGTTTATTGTTCATAAAATAAAGATTAGGTTTTATTTTTTGACATTTCTTAATCAATTCCGATGTGAGAGTTGCTCCACCATTAGGTTTTCTAACTATCCTAACCTAGAGGTGCGAAAAAACGTTTCTTCGATATCTTTGAGGTTATGTTACATTACGAGGTAATTTTTCTTCACAAAACTCGTTATGACATCCTCTTTTCTTCTCTGTTGAAGTTGATTAGTTAGTCGTTTTCGTCGATATTCGGAAATTTCGGTTTACAGGGCTTTGGGGCTGTATTAGAGCATTTTGTTCCTGGAAATTCAATCCTCAAGGCTTGGGATACTACTGTCATAAAAATTTTGTGGTGGAAATTCGTTCTACTTCTCTATCTTATCAATTCTGTGTGAAATTCGACAAAACTTCTTTCACTTCTAAAATCCCACAATTTTAATTTCATCCGCCATATTGGATTCGCCATTTTGAATTTTGCAATACTGACTTCCGATTCGTAATCAGCGACCACGAAAACCTGTCAACCAGTGGGAATTTGTTTGCACCTGATTCTTTTGTCTTCATTTTTTTTTTTGAATAAACGAATAGACAAACTAATTAATTTGAGCAGACGATTTCTCAGAGAATAAAGAAGAGGAATGCTTTATCGAAAAAATTGCCTCAAGATATAAGATAACATTGCGAAAAACAGTGTTTTTCGCACTTATAGGTTAGGATATCTCGGAAATCGGATGTTACGGAGCAATTCCGATGCAAGATTCAGAGCGTCAAAAATCTTCCGGTAAAGTATATCTGCTGGTTTCTGGGTTAAAATTTTGCCAGTATGTGTTATTTTTATGGTTTCTGACAAAATACTCTCATTATTTGATGTACAAGAAATCGTACCATTTTAATGGACATTTCTTAGGTAAAAATAAGCAAAAAATTTATAAATTTGGTCTGGAAATGCACTATTTTTAAGATGTTAGTCTTCAAATTATTTGAAATATTTAACATACTTAGTTAAAGCAACAGATATAAGAAAAAGTTGCTTTCGTTTTTTCATGTGTTTTGGGGTAAATTGTATATTAGTGATTGAACTATTTTACTGTTTTTACACCGGAACTTCTTCAAAATAATTTAAAGGTTAGAGTATAAAAAATAAAATTGAAAAGGATAATACAACAAATATAATAAAAAATTACAAAGCCAGTCGTCTCGGCACCCAAGTGCCGAGACGACTGGCGGTGGCCAACCACCTCATCCGTATTATAATTAGAAATACTTATTCTTTTCAAATAAGAAAAAATTTAGTTTGTTTACGAAAAGGAATAAGGTTATGTTTCTAATCTGATAATAAAAAAACAAAGATAACTTTTAAATTTTCTATTCTTCTTCTTTTTAATACATTCATACGAATAACAATGTCAGACTAGTCTTATTGTTTGCTGAGTTGTGTATATTTAATTGTTATGATTTTTGTTTATCAACTTTTTAGATTTAGCTTTTCTATGCGTTAACCTATCAGTTAAAATTCCTATTTTAAAACAAACAGAAAATTCAATCATTAATATTTAATTTATTCCAAAATTTGACAAGAGTATTTGTTTCAAATATGAATAAATATTTCAAAAAATATCATAGGATTAAAAGTTAGGATTTACGAAAGGGGCGTACTGCTGATTGAAGGTACAGCCTTATAGAATTTTGTATAAATAAATAATGTTCTTAAACAAATAATTTCCATTTAAAAAAAAATTTGAAGACATCTCGAAAACTTATCTATAAAGCTCATGTAAACAGTTTTGCTTATTTTCATCTCAGGAATATCTCCTTAAATTTTGTGTATTTTCTTGTAGGACACCCTGTATGTATTAGTCTTACATGTCAAATTTGACAGGTTTGTTCGTAATCGTAAAATACTTCGAAAGTTTTACAAAAATTTCAATAACAAAGTAAAAATGTAGAATATGTAAGAAAGAATAGTGACCAACCTACATGATAAAAAGGAAAAAATGTAGTTCAAACATACATTATCTACTTACTTAATAATACTAATTATATTTCCTATTCGATTAGCAGCTCTAATATTTCAAAAGTTTTTGTACGATCCTTTTTTCCAATTTAGCGTCCTAAAATATCCTTCTGAGCTTCAAAACAGCTTGAAACATCGGCCAAAATTTATAGCTCTTACTCAAATTTTTTGTTTCACTAGTGTTTAAACATTATTGCGAAATACAATACAGCCTCTACAAAGTAATATTTCAATAACCTAAACAAATATTTGCCCCCGCTCGTTCAATATTCAAATCGCGTTCCTTCGAAAATCCCCGTCACGTCAAAACTTTGTTGCACGCAATAATTTATCTGTATTTATTATGGAGTACAGACCACAGGCAAAATCACTGCTTTGCTCGCGACCGAGAGATTGAAATACGTGCTTGGAATACCTCACCAATTATTTGAATTAATGAACTTCAGTCAGTTATGAATAACTCTACTCTAATTCGGAAAATGTATTTTATATAATATTTAGGGTTAATAATAAGAGATTATTAAATTTATTATTTTGAGATTATTTAGAAAAACTGTCCATTAATAAACATGAAGAGGAACAAGTTATTTTAGTATTTAAAAATAAGCGACGATTGAGAAAAGCAATTGAATTTATTTTAATCAAAATTTATGAAATGTATTTTGTTTTATTATACAAGATATTTTGGAAAAAATCCGAGACTGATTGAACACCAAAAAATATAAATATTTCTTCTTATGGGCTTATCGCATTTTATTCTTACAGGCCGTCAAAATAATTTTTTAAATCAAATTTTAGAAAATCTTTTTCATAAAAGCAACATTAAAATTTGCTGCAGGTAAGTTTTTTAGCATGTTTAGCATCGTAAAATTTCGTTTTACATTAAAACGGTACCTTTGCCCCGATTTTAAGAAAAATACTACTGTTTTTTTAAAGTCAGCCTTATATCTTAATATACAGGGTGTCCAGAATCATATAGACTATACGTACACCAAATAATATAGTTTCTATGTACAAAAATAAAACGATTTGAATCAAGTTACTTTAGTACAATTTTGTTCCCTTAACAAATTTTTGATCTTTATAGAAATGTCTTTATTTTTTTTAAATCAACATAACTTTTAAAGTAAAATGTTACTGAGATAACTAATTTGATCGAAATTGCTTTGTTTTCATTCAATAA